TCAGTCCTAGGACTGAATTAATTTTGTTCCAGTTACTCCAGACTGAATGCATTCCTTTCACAGCACTTTACCAGGTTTCAAGTAACATCATGTGACCCAAAAATAGCGCATTGATTGGCTGGTTTTCTCATGAATTATTAATGAGTATTAGATTAATGATTATTTATAAAATAATTGGGATAATACGCGTGCTACGATTGGTCGAAAACCATGTTTGATGAGGGTATCAAAACACGCTCGCGTCATGCCACTACAAATACATCAGATTAATACGATATATATTTTTTTCCTTTTTTTGGCGTGTTTGTTATTTTATAAAACAGATCAAAAACAGTTTTCCGTGTTTGATACTCTGATCAAAACACGCGGAATGTTGAGAGAACACTCGAGAAGCTGGAAACCACTCCGCTWCGCGTCGTGGTTTCCTACGCTCCTCTCGTGTTCTCTCAACATCCCGCGTGTTTAAACACGGAAAACTGTTTTTGATCTGTTAAATCATATGCCCGCAAAGGACTAGTAGGTGATGCCGTGAAGACTTCTGGGTACTATTGCGCAATTTCTGCGTTTTCTGACAAGGAGAAAGTAAATAATATACTAATAACAAAGGATGGTAAAAGGAGAAGAAAATTGGTGATTCTAACAAAGAACGTTGGAATATTTGGTCTTGTTGCGTCATGGTGCAAGATCACATTCACAAGTAGTGTGACATGCAAAACGCAAAACTGTTTATTTTATTGCCCAAAAAAGGGCAGAACCTGCATTTATTTTAATATTATGTAGAGAACAACTTAAGGGAAAAGATCGACTTAGAAGAGTTAAACGAAATTATTTTATTCTGTGAAAAATACCATTATCTTTTGGCTAACATGTCAAACTTCTTCAGCTGTAATAATTACTGATCTTATCAAAATCCATTGTTTTCAGTCTGCATTATCCCAACGAATGCATAGAGGAAAATCAGACATATTTAGTTCATTCATTATTGGCTTTGTTTCTATGATAAACAAGCTAGAAAGAAAACAATTGGATTTTGACAAGAACAATAATTAATAGATAATTACTGAGGCACGCAGCATTCGTAGGTATATCGGGCTATGCCCTCAGCTGCCTGCATTATACCTACGAATGCTGCGTGCCTCAGTAATTATCTATTAACTAGTCCTTTGTGCATGATACAGGCAACCCAGTGAACACCTATAGGGCGTCTTTTTTTAATCACACATTATTACATAAAAGTCAATTAAGTGTTAACACATTTAATACGATTCATTGGAACTTTAGCTTATTTGCAATGGAGATAAACCTCTCTGTGGAAAAAATTCTTTCTACATGATTTATATAAAATATCTTCGGCAATCGTATTCTAGAAAATTATTCTTATACCTAACCAGACAATAGAATTTTCCATAGTTAAGGAGGTTCAATGGGGTTTTCTTGRCGCGCCACCTTTCGACTTCAAATCGCAATTAAGCGGGCGTAAACTATAGATTGTGTGCAACCATGTGACTCAAAAGCCTTTGAGATATGAATAACAATGGGACAGCCGCCATGTTGGTTGATCTAACAAGAGAAGATAGTGAGGAATGCTTTGTTATCGTCAACCAACATGGCGGCTGTGACGTAACATGCACCCCAAGAATAGGAGGATACCAATCAAACACCCGCCATGTTGGTTGATCTAACAAGAGAAGCTAATGAGGAATGCTTCGTTATACTTCCAACATGGGATCCCCAATATGTTAATGACTGTGACGTCAGGTAAGGTATTTGAGTGTTATAACTAGCTATACTAAACACTGGCCATTATGAGAAAACAAATTAAACGAATAACGTCCTTTATGTAAACCATGAGTAAAATAATAATGCTTCTTAAGYATGAACCAGTTCAATTTGTATATTTAATGGAGCCTTAATAGAAGTCACAGTCATTGCATTCAAAACGGCTCAAGTTTACCCCTCCTCATATTCACTTTAAAAAATGGGCCAATTTGACTGGGCGCGAGATTTTCAATAATCACCTGTGTATTTATACCAAGAGAATATGAACTAAGAGAAGGAATCCTACCCATATAGCCTTGTAACCATCATGTGCACAGCTTGATGCTATTTTTAGCTTGGAGATATTTTGAGCGAAGAACCTGATTGTTTGATTTCTTGAGGGTAGGCGGCTTCCAGTCTTGCAGTAAAAAAAAGCCTGTGTTTTTGTCGTGGACGTAGCGAAATATGGCGCTTTTCGTGTCCTAAAACGAGGCATTAAAGTGAAGCATGATTATCGCGCGAGCATGTTAACGGGTTAAAAATAGTTCGGATTCTAAGAATAGCATCTAAGTGTGCACATGATGGGACACGGGGATTCCTTCTCTTAGTTCATATTCTCTTGTTTATACTATATACAGTTATACTCTACTTTACAGTATTATGGGCATTCAAGAACTGCTGGAGTACGTAAAATATATAGACAAAGTATCACGATCAGGATGTGTATTTATCTCCGGATAGAAAGTATTCAATAACTTATTTCCCAGACAAGATTAGAATTTCTCAAACTCATTAATAATTCATGACTTTTAAGAAATCCTAATCTTATCCGGGACCATTAAAATGGTCCAATGCTATGCTTCTTATAGGGTCACATGCATACGCTTAGATACCTTGGTCCAACACTGGATGTCGGCTAATTATGTTCACTGATGTAGAATTGTCTGAATACCTCGAAACTCTCGTCTGAAACCTGAATCTTTTTTCTTCGTTAACAAGGCT